CTCTCTCTCTCTCTCTCTCTCTCTCTCTCTCTCTCTCTCTCTCTCTCTCTCTCTCTCGCTCTCTCTCTCTCTCTCTCTCTCTCTCTCTCTCTCTCTCTCTCTCTCTCTCTCTGCCCAGTTGACCCTCAGTGGACAGCTTCCCGCAGGGCAGCCACACCTAATCCCTCTGTTTTTCAAATTTCTATCGATTTTTTCGCTCAAATCAACAATTCTTTTTCGATCTCTCCCCTTATTTATCAACTTCTCTCTTTTTTCAGTCCAACTCACAATGAGCAATTACAACGACGACTACAACCGCCGTGGTGGCGGTGGAGATCGTGGTGGCTACAATCGGAACAACTACAGTAATCGTGACGACTACAGGGACAATTCACGTGGTGGTAACGACTACAGAGAAGGCCACAATGACCGGAACAACTACCGAGGTGGCGGCGGCCAGGACAACTACAACCGCAACGATCGCGGATATGATCGTGGATATGATCGTGGACATGATCGTGGAGATCGCGGACACCAAGACTACGGTCGTGGAGATCGCGGACACCAAGACTACGGTCGTGGAGATCGCGGACACCAAGACTACGGTCGTGGAGATCGCGGACACCAAGAGTACGGTCGTGGAGATCGCGGACACCAAGACTACGGTCGTGGAGATCGCGGACACCATGGACGTGAAGACTACGGTCGTGGAGACTCCGGCCGCGGCGGATACGGTCGAGGAGGCTACGGCAAGGTGGCTACGGTCAAGGATCTCGCGACAACCTGTCCCAGCAAATGGACCGAATGAGCTTGAACGGTGGTGGTCGTGGCGGTGGCAACAACATGTACGGATCTCAGCGCGAGGGTCGTGGCGGCTACCGTGCTCCACAGCGATGCACAGCCGGGATGTCCAACCTCGGCGAGCTTGCCGGTGGCGCCGACCATCCGAACATGCCAGTGGCCAAGAAGGACTTGGCCCACAACCAGCAGAAGTTCTACGAGCGCCCGGACACCTCGGCATATGAGAATCCTCGTTGTGGGCAGAAGATTGAGCTTCTGACCAACCATGCGCTGGTTCACATGCCATCCACACCAATCGTCCTCTACGAATACAACATCGATGTCTTCAAGGGAAGGAAGAAGTTAGAAAAGAGGGAAGAAGCTGGTCCAATGTTCCGGGAGATCTTGCAAACGGTCCCGAAGCACATCTTTCCGCCAGCCACCGATTTCATTTACAACGATGTCAACTTGATTTGGTCGACTATGAAGCTTCCGAGTCATGAGAGAAAAGTCGAAGGCCGAAATCGAAACTCATTCTACTACAAGTACACTCGCTGCGTTGAGCTGAAGTTTGAGCTGGCTACGAACTGTCAGGATAGTCAGCTGATTTCGACACTGGTGGATGCGATTGGGACCGCGAGAGTTACATGGCCAAAGTGAGTTTACTTTTTTTTTTACTAATTTTGAGCTCATATATTTCGGTTCTTGTGCTACACATCGAAAAGTGGTCAACTAACAAAATGTTTATCATTTTATCACCAACGTTTTATTAGTTGATAGTTTTTTGATATCTTNTACAGAAACCGAGATATATGAGCTCAAAGTTTAGGTGGCCTTTAAAGACGCGGTTTTGCAAAAAAAATTAAGAAATGTGTTCCTCAAATTTTAAACTGACCATGTGAAGCAAAACGTTTTCTGCAAATCTGTCCATTTTTAAACTTTTTGCTCATCTTGGAGCTGAGATACAGTCGTTCAAAGTTTCTGGTGGCTAGAGACGCAGACGACGAGATACACAACGTCTCTAGCCTCTTAAACTTCAAATGACTGTATTTCAGCTTGTATATGAGCTAGGAACTTGATTTTCAGTGCAAAATACAGTTTTGTATTTGTATTTTATTGCAAAAGTAAAAAAAACGAACAGAGGCTTTTATTTTACACTAAAAATCAAGTTTCTAGCTCATCTAGGAGCCGAGATACAGCGGTCTAGAGTTTGGTAGAATAGAGACGCAGTGTGTCTCGTTGTCTGCGTCTCTAGCGTCCAAAGCTTTGAAGCGCTATATCTCGGCTCCTAGATAAGCTAGAAAATGGAAAATTGAAAAGAAAAAATTTCAAGCTTTGAAAATGAATCAAAAATCAAATTTCAGACAAACTGGCAACAAGTTCTCTGTCTTCAAAAGATCCATCTTCCTGCTCCAAGACCGTCTCGACGAGGGAGCTTTCGCCGACGCACCGGTCTTTGTGAAACTTCGAAATGGAGTCGACGCCCGTATCGGAGTCTCCATGGCTATCCGGCTGAATCTGCGAGTTGGAATTACTGCTTGCTTTGATGGTAAGTTCAATATACAGCACCGTCAACTAGGAGCCCAGATATCTCGGCTCCTGTAAGAAATATCGAAAAGTAATCAACTAATAAAATGTTGCTGATAACATATTAACAATTTATCAGTTGACTACTTTTTGATATCTTTTACAGAAAATCAGATATAAGGGCTCAAAGATGGTAGTGTCTGAACACATTAACCTTCCCAAACTTTCAGTCTCCCACACGCTATTCACTCGTCCAGGCTATCCACTGGTCCGTCTTTTCTGGGAGCTCATCCAAGGAGAAACTCTTGAAGACGACCAGATTCTCGATGGACAATGGGATGCGGACATGCAGTTGGCTAGACCGACAAAGAGGAATATCGAACTGATGTCCAACGTGCTTAAGAAGATGACGCTGATCTTCTCCCCCGAGGATGGCATCACAATTGACGAGAAGGGAAAGTACCATGAGACGGATTTGAGAAGATTGAAGACCAGAGGCCGCGAGTTCAAGTTCTATGAGTTGGGGCCAGATTCAAGCTTTCAGTTTTTGGATGAGAAGGCTGGAAAGAAGATCACAGTCGCTGAGTACTTCCTGGCTGCGCACAACTACCGTATCCGCTATCCAAATCTTCCATGCCTCCAGAAAAAGCCATCAAAGATGAATCCACATCGTCTTGTGCTCTTCCCAATGGAGCTTGTCAGCTTGCTCGTCGACCCGATTCGTTTCACTGGAGCCGTCACGGAGAAGCTGAAGGGAGACATGGTGAAGTACACTACTCTCTCCGCCGTTCAGCGTCGCCTCGTTCTTCAGAATGTGATTGCTCAGAAGGCAATCGGAGACTGCCCTCAGATTGTGGACAACGAGGATCGCTACATGAAGAATCATGAAATCAAGATTGAGAAGGATATGTTAACCGTCAAAGCGTGCCTTCTTCCTCCGCCAGAAGTCGTTTATGGAAACTCGACGTTCTTGGATACGGAGCATCGAGGACAGTGGGAAGCAGTGATCAATGATCCGATTCGTACGGTCCTCGAGGACGCTGTCTACAGAAGAAACCGGAATCCAAATGCTCCAAAGCTCAAAAAGCGTCTGTTGGGATCCATTCTCAAGATCGGCTCTCCTATGAATAGCACCGTTGGATTCGACATTGATGAGTGAGTGATTTTTTAAAAAGATTTTATAGAACTCCCAATTTTCAGCTCATGTTATCATAATCTGATGCGCGCCATCCACGAGGCCGGACAACCGGTCTGCTGGCAGAATCCAGAGCTCGGCCAGGCGGCAATCCAAGGAAGTATGGAATATCTCCAGAAAAGAGACCAGCCTGGAACCATCATGGACTGGTTCAACAGCCTCAAGGAGAATCTCGACGACTACAAGCAGAGCGAGGACGAGGTGATTGTTCCATTGGTCTTTGTGATCTTTGAAGTTCGATTCACCACGTTGAATCTTCAACGCCAGGATTTCCAGAACGATTACAGTGAGTTATAGTTTCTGGCTCTAGATTCTTCAACTGATTAATTTTTTTTAAAGATCTGTTCAAGTGGCTCGCAGACAATCATGTAGGCATTTTCACCCAGGGAATGTTATATAAGACTTTCAATGGCATTGGCTCCACCCCTGCCACTTGCAAGTACACTAGCCAAATCGTTGAGAAAGTTCTTGGAAAAGTTGGAACCACCCATCGTCGTCTGGAGAGAAATGGAGAGCACAAGTCGTGGAAGAAGATTGTAGTCGAACCAACTCTTCTCCTCGGCGTCGACGTCTCGCATCCATCGACCAGAGACTTGATGGGAGAGGATCAAGTGAAACGCTTGTCGGTTGCCACCGTCGTCGGAAACATTGATCTGGACTGCACCGAGTATCGCGCGTCGTCCAAGATTCAAGATGTTGGCGAGGAGAGAATCGTCCGGTTCGAGAATGAGATTCTCGAAAGAATCAGCGAATTTGTTCAGTTCACTGGCAAGCGCCCCGCCCACATTGTCATCTACAGAGATGGTCTTTCGGAGGGAGACTTCCAGAGAACATTGTACGAGGAGAAGAATAGTGTGAACATGGCGTGCCGCTCGATTGCTGCGGACTTTAACCCCACACTAACCTACATTGTTGTCACCAAACGTCACCATACCAGATTCTTCTTGAAAAATGAGAAAGAAGGATTGGCGGAGCAGGGCTACAATGTCCGGCCAGGAACCTTGGTGGAGGATACAGTAACCACCAAGAACTACTACGATTTCTTCCTAACCACTCAAGTTGGACAAATGGGACTCGCTCGACCAACCCACTACTACGTGTTGCACAATAATTGGAAGGTTCCGGGAACATTCTGGCCAACCGTGACCCATGCTCTCACGTACTTGTTCTGCCGAGCAACCACCACTGTCAATCTTCCAGCTCCAGTCCTTTATGCTCATTTGGCAGCTAAGAAGGCCAAGGAAACAATGGATGGAGCACTTTATGCCAATGCGTAAGTTTTTTGGTATTTTTAGATTTATGGAAAAATCGGGAAAAGGGGTTTTCAATAAATTGGCATGAACTAATTTTGGAAATCTAGGTCATGTCCTAATTTTGAAAATATAAGTCTTGCCCATATGTTTTTCGGGAATTTCCCGAAGTTATTCGATTACTGTAGCTTGTCTATGAACAATGTTACAAGCTAAAAACCGTCTGAGCTCGTTTCCTGTTGAGGAATTCTATATTTTGGAAATTGGATGAAATATTCAAATTTCGACCGTTGAGAGTTTTGAAATGAGCCCAAACACGACTAGTCTCCGCCCATTTTAACTTTTTCCGGCGCGTCGCGGTCGTGCGTCGCGTGTCGAATCGTGTTTATACTCATTTCAAAGCTCGAAACGTGCCAGACATGAATTCGACATCAAATCTCAATTTTTCCGGCGCGTCGCGTGCCGAATGAAAATTTGGAAGTGGGCGGAGCCTAGTCGTGTAAAAATGTAGAAAAATCGGGATTTTTTTCAAATTCATGATAATAAATATATTTTTTCAGTCTCAATGGAAAGTTCTTGGACACCTCCTCGTTCGCAGACCTCGCCCAACTGGAGAGATGCATCAAGAACCACCAGGAGCTGGATGGCATGACATTTGTCTAATTGCTCATAACTACTAACCAAAAACCTCCCCCCTGTCTCATTACCTCACATATTTCAAAACTTTATACCTCGTTATTCATGTACCTCGGACACCAATCCCCCTTGATATTCTCTAATAACCATTCAAGTTTGTCCCAAAAACCTTATTTTCTCACAGTTTTCTAAAATGCCCTCGGAATCTTGTACCTCTCCCCATCTTCATGTCCCATTGACACCAAACCCCCCCCCCCCCCCCTCGGATTACTTCTAATAACCTCTAATAACTATTCAAGTTTGTCTTCTATAGTTTGAATTTTATAAATTGTTGGTTGTCAATTCAAAAATGGCTTATCATTGGAATTTCGAGGTCCTGGACCATTGACCAAGGGTCCGAAACGGAAAAAATGAAAAATTAGGGTTACTGGGTGTTAGCTTCAAGAGTATTTCGTTACTTTATACCATTTTTGTAGTTCAGAGTCCACAGTTACGGTAGTTTGAAGTTTAGTCCAGGTATTGTAGTTGGGAGTTCTGTCCAGATAAGGTAGTTCGAAGATACAGGCACGGTAGTTTGAAGCTCTAGGCATGGTGGTTAGGATTTTAATCTAGGTACCGTAGTACAGAGTACAGTCCAAGTGCGGTAGTTTGGAGCTACGCTGTCACTCGACTAATAAACTATCTCTCTTTAAAGGCGCATATCTCAAAAACTGACTGAACTATTAAAAATTTGTGAACTAACAAAGTATAGATCATAAAGTTTTACACATTTTTGTGGTTTAAAATATTTCGATATATTTACGAATAGCAAAGATATAACTATTCGAAGTAGACCCGATTGGAAGAGTGCGAAAAGCGAGAGCGACGATAAAGCAAAAAATAGATCAAATCGCGCCGAAGGCGCACCAGTCAGCTGTTTGAAGCGCCGGAGGCACGGCAAACAGTCTGGTAGAGCACAAAATTCTACACATTTTTATAGTTTAAAATATGTTGACATCTGTAAAACTAGCAAAGATATAAGCGTTGGAAATTTGCCAATACACCTTTATGCCAATATGCGGACTTTCGGTAGAAAAACTCCTTTAAGCATGTTTCAAATAATTTTTGAATATGAAAATTTTGAAACGCTTTTTTCAGATTCTTCCAGTCCTTTCAATTTCCTGAAGACCTCCGAAACCAAAAAATTTCGAAAAAAAATTTCTGAAAAATTTTTCGGAAATCCTAATTCCATAGGATCAAGTCGTCACCATGTCTCCACCCACCCATAAACGTCACTTCCACATGTTTGTCTGTTTCATTTGAATTTTAAAAATTTGTGAGATCTCTCTCTCTCTCTCTCTCTCTCTCTCTCTCTCCAGAAGCACCTTCCTGGCTCCGGAGAGAAGGGCGGAGTCTAAAAGATTGCTATTTCAAAATATAGCCAATCCGATAAAGTGTATATAGCCAGAGTGACATAATTTGATTTTCATTTAGATGGAAATTTCCGGAATTACGATTACGTATAAATGAGGAGGAGGAGCACTGAATTGGTATATACCAATTCAGTGAAGTGCTTCTTCAGAAATGTTGCTTTTTCATTATCATTTTGGTTTTGCAGAAAACATTTTGCAACGTTTTTGAAGTGATTCGGTTTTCGCAGGATTCCAGGAGTTCTTGGATTTTTCGGAGTTTTAGGATTTTGTAGAATTTTTTGTTTAGTTTGAAGAGATCATAGGATCTTCTAGGATCTTAAAAATCTGAAAATCAGCATGCCTTGATTTTTTAGTTTCTAAATTGTCCCTATGATTTTTAGATATCACTTTCATCGATCTCTGAATTTTAGGATTTTCAGAATTTTTAGAATATTTTAGAATCTTGAAAATCTGAAAATCTGAGAATTCCCTTAACTTTAGAATTCAAGAATGATTAAGATTTTCAAGAATCCTGAAAACCTGGAAATCTGAATTTTTAGAATTTTAAAGATTTTTCAAGATCTTGAGTGCCTGAAAATCTGTAAAACATAAAAATTTTTGGATTTTCAGATTTTCAAAGTTTCAGACCATTTTTAGGATTCCATTTTTGCAGAATTTTCGGGATTTCAGAATTTTCAAAGCTCCTAGAATTTCTAGAATTTTCTAGAACCGAAAAACGCAACAATAATAAGTATTTTGAACGTTTTCAGAATTTCGAATTTCACATTTTTTGAACTTTTCAGTGCTTTGAGGCAGTTTTAAAAACGTTTAAAAGTCTTACGATTTGTAGAAAATTTTGAGTTTCGAGAATCTGAAATTTCTAAGAATTTCAGAATTCTAGGATTTCAGAATTTTGGGAATTCCAGAATTTCAGAATCTCAGAATTTCCGAATTTCTCTAATTTTCAAATTTTGAGATCACAACTACCCGAGGTGGTCAAAAATGACGACCGGCCGGTGGTCGAGGGCCGGCCATGAGGGTTCTCGCAGATGTTTCCGTTTGAAACTTGAATCATCTACCCAATGTTTTCTAGTTTTCTTTTCCTCTCATTAAAAATTTCCACCTGTCTGACCGCACATTTTTTTGCTTTCCCTACTACTACAGAAATCACAAAAAATGTCTCATTAGCAGAAAAATGCATTTTTAGCATGAGTAATCTAGAAAACGTCAGGTGTGTGTTTTCCGTTTCCAGTTTTTTTTTGTCTATTTTTGAAATTTTTCGTGATCATTTAAGAATTCAAAATTTGGGCTTCTTTTGAGAATTCCTAAATAATAGGAAACCCTTCAAACATGTTTGATTCTTTAGAATTTCAATTTTTTTCTATTTTCGAAAATGTATATTTTTCAAATTCCCTCCAAAAAGTTTCTCCACTTCTTGGTCCACTTTTCCCACCAACTATTTCATCCATAAATTGTCTTTTAAAAAAACTAAAAAAATTAGTCAAAATGACCAAAACGAGGAAGCCCCATCTTTTTAGTCTTTTTGTTGTTTTTCAAAAAATTCCAAAAAATAAAAATTGAAATTGAAATTAGACCCAACATTGAACAAATATTTTTGTGTTATTTAATCTTCTTTTTAATCAATTTTTGATTTCTTCGCCTGGTATAAATATCCATTTTTTCCCAAATCTTTTCAAAAATTTCAAAAACATTTTCAGACGGAAAAATGAACAGCTTCTTGACCTTCTTCTTGGTCTTCTTGGCTCTTTTTGCCATGCCAACTGACGCTTTTCCAGGCAGACTTCCGGAGAGAGTGAGTCCCCCAACTTTGACCTCATTTATCTGAGTTCCAATAAACGTTATCCAAGAGTGATAAAGTAATAAAATATTTAGAATTCTATGATAAACATTTTATCAGTTTTTCAGTTTTTGATATCTCTTACAGGAGCCGAGATAATTGAGCTCAAAAATTAAAGTTTTTTTAAAGATATTTTTAAAGATTTCCTAACTTTGAGGTCAATTATCTGGGTTCCTATAAAAGTTATCAAAAAGTGATAAACTAATAAAATATTTATAATTCTATGATAAATATTTTATCAGTTTACCACTTTCTGATATCTCTTACAGGAGCCGAGATAATTGAGCTCAAAGTTAGGTATAGGTTTCAAGCTAGTTCTTTTAGTATTTTCAAAACGGCCCATTTTCTAGCTCTAAAAATCCTGGATTTTAAAAATTACAAATCTTATTAAGTTGTTCATTTTTTAATTGTTCAAATGTTGCATTTTTGAAATATTCAAAAAAACATTTTTTCAAAATTTTCAAAACATTCAAATCTCCAGAGAATCCGTGGCGACGTCGATTCGGTCTTCTTCTCGCCATTCAGAATCATTGGAAAACGTGCTCAGGTTTTGAGCCCGGCTTATGAGTAAGTTCCTGAAAACAGTCTAATAAAAATTAGTGAAAACTTTGAAATTTGAGAAACCTAAAAAAAATTTCGAGTTTCAGATTTTTAGATTTTCAGAGATTCGGATTTTCAAACTTTCGAAATTCCAGAATTCGAGATTTTCCGATTTTCCGAATCAGATTTTCAGCATTTTGAAAATTCAGAAAGTCTGATTTTCAGAAGTTCAGATTTTCAGAATCTCAGAATCTCAGAATCTCAGAATCTCAGAATCTCAGAATCTCAGAATCTCAGAAACTCAGAATTTCAGAGTCTCAGAATCTCAGAATCTTAGAATCTCAGAATCTCAGAACCTCAGACTTTCAGATTTTCAGATTTTCAGAATTTCGGATTTTCAGGAGTTTAAGAATCTCAGAATTTCCAAATTCAAGAAGCTCACAATCACAGAATTTCAGAATCTTAGGCAAAATATCTAGAAATATTTATTCCGCCTTCTTTTAAAAAAAATTCAATTTGAAATAAAAAAAACATAATTACAAAATTTATAAGTTTCCAGGAAATTCGTTTATTCCAAAATTTTGAAATTTTAAGATCCAGAATTTTTTTCTGAAAAACAATTTAAAAAAATTTTCAGCGACCTCGGCGAGTACCTTGTCAACCCGGACTTTGTCTAAAGTCTCAACCAATTTCGAATTTTCCGGAAATTTCCATCTCAGTCAATTTAATTTATTCATCCGCTTTTCAGATCTAACTTACTTTTTGAATACAAAATACCGCAAAAGCTGTAATAGAAGGGCTTCCACACTTGAGCTCAATTATCTCGGCTCTTATGCAAGGTATCAAAAATGTGTATACTGATAAAAAGTTTATTATAACATCATGAATATTTTATCAGTTGATAACGTTTTGATATCTCTCACAAAAACCGAGATAATTGAGCTAAAACTTAACAGTGTAGGAGCCCTTCTATTACAGGTTTTACGGTAACCCTTTTACTGTATGATTTCCCAGAAGAAAAATCCCCCCAACTTTTGATTGTCATCTTTTCTCCTGGCTAATAAAAATGTCAATTTTCTCAAAGAAGGAGAGTCATTTTGGGGACTACACACACACCCCCATAAAACCGCCTATTAAAAGGGTCCCCCTTCTTCTAAATTTATTTCATAAAATCCCGTTTTCTTTTCTTTTCGAGAACTCTCTCTCTCTCTCTCTCTTGCTTCTTCTTCTTCTTCTTCTTCCTCCTTCTTCAGATTATTTGCGCATCATGCTCCGTTGTCATGGGCGACGGCTTCTGTCCCTTTTTGAAGAGAATTTGATGTACTTGAGAAGAGAGAAAAAATATTTTTAGGCGCTCTTTTCTTATTTTGTTTTTATTTTTTCTTTTTGACTGGCCTATTGGAAGCTCCAGGCTAGAGATTCACTTTAAGTAGCTATCTGAAACTTGGTGAAATTCTGAAAAAGCAATTCAAACAATCACATGTTTGGTTGGATGATTCTGGAAACTGAGAGAAAAATTTATTTTTGGAAAATTTGAAAATGTGTTGTTCTTTCCAAAAAAAAAATGTAATTCGGTTACTTTGAGCTCAAATATCTCAATTTCTACAAAAGATCATTACTAATAACATTCATCAGATTCTGTAAGTGCGTATGTATGTAGCGCACCTTATCACCTATTCAAAGTTAACCGATCAAGCTGAAACCTGGACAGATAGATCGGAATTGTGTCTTAGTTGATGCCCGAACTTTTGGTTTTTCGAAATTTTGATTTAGGAGTCTTCTGGAGACGTTCCTTGGTTTCACCTCAGTAAAGGGTGGTGGGCAGAAAGGGCGATGGAGGAGGGCGACCAGAAGCCAGGAGGTTTAGCCCCGAAGGGGCCTAAACCGACTGGTATCAACAATTTGTCAACTAATAAAACACTTTATCAGTTTTTGCATTTTTGATAGCTCTTATAGAAATTGAGATATTTGAGCTCAAAGTTCAAGTATCTGAAAAGTTATTGAAAAGTGATTTTGGGTTCCTTAAAGGGGGACTCCGACCAGAAATTTTTTATTGCATTAAAATGTGTTGAAATTTATCTATTTTTCAAATATTATTGCGAAAAAATTTTACAAAAATCCGAAATCCCCGAAAAACGGCGTTGAGAAGGAAGAAAATTCAAAAAAATCCGGAATTCCCAAAAAACGGCGTTGAAAAGGAAGAAAATTCAAAAAAAGGTGCCGCCGGGGGACGAGGATTTTCAGTGAGAAACCTAGGCCACGGCACCTGACACATTTTTTTCAAGTCGCCGACAGTGGTTTTTTACGTTTTTTACCTGCCGGACATGAAATTGAAAAAAATCCGGAAAATTTGCCACATAGGAAAGGCGCCCGCTGCCGTGGCCTAGGTTTCTCACTGAAAATCCTCGTCCCCCGGCGGCACCTTTTTTTGAATTTTCTTCCTTTTCAACGCGCTTTTTTGGGAATTTCGGATTTTTTTGAATTTTTTCGCAATAATNATTCGGAAAATAGATAACTTTTAACACATTTTAATGCAAAAAGA